AGTAGGTATCTCTGGATTCCCCTACCTTTAGGACGAGCCGGGATCGGAACGAACGAATGGGTACACGCGGGTCGTTGAAGTAGGTACTCTGATTCCCACTACTCTTTAGGACGAGCCGGGATCGGAACGAACGAATGGGTACACGCTGGTCGTTGGAAGTAGGTATCTCTGGATATCCCACTACTCTTTAGGACGAGCCGGGATCGGAAACGAACGAATGGGTACACGCTGGTCGTTGGAAGTAGGTATCTCTGGATTCCCACTACTCTTTAGGACGAGCGGGATCGGAACGAACGAATGGGTACACGCTGGTCGTTGGAAGTAGGTATCTCTGGATTCCCACTACTCTTTAGGACGAGCCGGGATCGGAACGAACGAATGGGTACACGCTGGTCGTTGGAAGTAGGTATCTCTGGATTCCCACTACTCTTTAGGACGAGCCGGGATCGGAACGAACGAATGGGTACACGCTGGTCGTTGGAAGTAGGTATCTCTGGATTCCCACTACTCTTTAGGACGAGCTGGGATCGGAACGAACGAATGGGTACACGCTGGTCGTTGGAAGTAGGTATCTCTGGATTCCCACTACTCTTTAGGACGAGCCGGGATCGGAACGAACGAATGGGTACACGCTGGTCGTTGGAAGTAGGTATCTCTGGATTCCCACTACTCTTTAGGACGAGCGGGATCGGAACGAACGAATGGGTACACGCTGGTCGTTGAAGTAGGTATCTCTGGATTCCCACTACTCTTTAGGACGAGCCGGGATCGGAACGAACGAATGGGTACACGCTGGTCGTTGGAAGTAGGTATCTCTGGATTCCCACTACTCTTTAGGACGAGCGGGGATCGGAACGAACGAATGGGTACACGCTGGTCGTTGGAAGTAGTATCTCTGGATTCCCACTACTCTTTAGGACGAGCCGGATCGGAACGAACGAATGGGTACACGCTGGTCGTTGGAAGTAGGTATCTCTGGATTCCCACTACTCTTTAGGACGAGCCGGGATCGGAACGAACGAATGGGTACACGCTGGTCGTTGGAAGTAGGTATCTCTGGATTCCCACTACTCTTTAGGACGAGCTGGGATCGGAACGAACGAATGGGTACGCGCTGGTCGTTGGAAGTAGGTATCTCTGGATTCCCACTACTCTTTAGGACGAGCTGGGATCGGAACGAACGAATGGGTACGCGCTGGTCGTTGGAAGTAGGTATCTCTGGATTCCCACTACTCTTTAGGACGAGCTGGGATCGGAACGAACGAATGGGTACGCGCTGGTCGTTGGAAGTAGGTATCTCTGGATTCCCACTACTCTTTAGGACGAGCTGGGATCGGAACGAACGAATGGGTACGCGCTGGTCGTTGGAAGTAGGTATCTCTGGATTCCCACTACTCTTTAGGACGAGCTGGGATCGGAACGAACGAATGGGTACGCGCTGGTCGTTGGAAGTAGGTATCTCTGGATTCCCACTACTCTTTAGGACGAGCTGGGATCGGAACGAACGAATGGGTACGCGCTGGTCGTTGGAAGTAGGTATCTCTGTATTCCCCCTACTCTTTAGGACGAGCCGGGATCGGAACGAACGAATGGGTACACGCTGGTCGTTGGAAGTAGGTATCTCTGGATTCCCACTACTCTTTAGGCGCCCTTCTACTGGGATTGGTAGTCCCCAAACGTGGTGGTGACAATACCTGGTGGTGAGTCTCGGGCGATTTGGTGTCACCACCCGGTTTGGGGACTCGTGCGGTTTTCCGAGGATGTCCCGGACACTGGTGGGTCCAGGAGTCACAAAACCTTGGTGGTGACCCCGCGTCCCCAAACCCAGCGGTGACCTTTCGGGGGATTCCAGGTCGCCACCTGGTATCTCACCACCCAGTTTGGGGGTTCCCAATGGGATCGGAACGAACGAATGGGTACACGCTGGTCGTTGGAAGTAGGTATCTCCGGATTCCCAATGCTCTTTAGGCGCCCTTTCTACTTTGAAAGTCGACCTGCTTCTGCTGTGTTTTGTTTTTTAATCTGGGAGGGCCTGAGCCCAATCTACTTTATCCGCCTTCCTGCTTAATGCTTGTACCTACTTCTTCCGACGGACGGGTACAGAAAGAATGGGTACGATGCCCAACAGCAGTTCCTGTTCATTCTGAACAGAGTTCGTTGTCGGCGTTGCCGTGGCCGTTGTCTACTTGAGGCAGAAGGTCGCCTGCCCAACAGCGGCAGCTGTCGGTTTTGAATAACATTCGTTGCTGGGCATCGTACCCATTTGTTCCGTATCCATTCTGGGCGTCCAAATGGGAGACCCCCCAGCCGGGCGGAGGGGGGTCACACGGGAAGGGGTCGTGAATGAGCTCACGTGGCTGGTTTCTCCGGCGCCTCCCGGCGCTCGGGGCGCTCGGGGCGCTTAGCCAGACTCCCAATGATATGATGTTTTCAATCCCGGCGTTCTTTTTGTGGCCCCCCGAAACGGCAGGGCCGTTTTTTCACCGTTTCCAAAAAAAATGTCCCTTGAAAATGGAAACGGCAAACAATTTTGAAAACGGCGACCGGAAACGGCAACAAAAACGGCTCCAGGATTGGAACCGGAGCCGGAACCAGTCAAAAAACGGCGACGGAACCGGTAAACAAACGGCGTCGGAACCGGCAAAAAACGGCACAACGGAACCGGTACAAAAACGGCCTTGTCGTTTCCAGGGCCCATTAAGGGCGTTCTCCCTTGATTCTCCTTCCAGTTTCCCGGGGGTGCTGGTGTCAATACCTTGCGCCCCCGAGAGGGGACCCTCCGTTCTCGTCTCCGCCTCCGCCTCCTCCTCCTCCTCCCCCTCCTCCTCCTCCTCCTCCTCCTCCACCTCCTCCTCCTCCTCCTCCACCTCCTCCTCCTCCTCCGGGGGAGGCCCCCCGGCAGTGGCCGAAGACTGGCCAGGCGGCCTGGACACAGCGCTTGCGGAGCTTCGGGCAGCGGGAGGGCCCCCTGAGACAACGGCGGCTTCTCCGCCCAGCCAAACTCTGGCCAGAGTCGGTCCCCGAACCCCCTCCTCCTCCTCCTTCCTCCTTCTCCTCCTCCTCCTCCTCCCTCTCCTCCTCCCTCCTCCTCTTCCTCCCTCTCCTCCCTCCTCCGCCTCCTCCTCCTCCGCCTCGTCGTCCTCGATGTTCCTTCTCCTCCCCGATTCTCCTCCTCGATTTTCCTCCTCCTCCTCCTCATCGATCCTCCGCCTTCTTCTCGGTCCTCCTCCTCCTCGACCCTCCGTCGTGCTCTTACTTCGCGTCCGCCGGTGCCGGAGCGGCGATCCCCTGCTCCGCAGCGCCCAGCGACGCGGACGGTGACGTCGGACGAGCGACCGAAGCCCTCGAGCGTGCCCCCCCCTCGGCCTGCAGGGGCAGGGCGAGCAACAACCAGGAGGCAACGAGAGAGAGGGGAGCAAGAGTCAGGAGGGAAAGAAACACGCAGACACAATTAATCGTCCATTCTCCAAAACATATGGGAAAATATGGGAAGTGGGGGGAAGACAAAAACCCAGAAAATATGGGAAAATATGGGCAATATTTTTACTTGTGTGTATTTATTTGTGTGTCCCAGGGCCCCTTCAAAGAGGGAGGACGGATTCTTGGAGGAGGCGGAAGGAGGGGGAAGCCAAGGTCCGGCTTTGTGCGGGTGCAGAGATGGACCCGGTGTGGGTCCCACCCTCCTTGGGGGGAGGGAGAGGTCCACCTCGGCTCACCTCTCCTTGAGGAGGGGTCCGTCCTCCTGTCATCCCGAGGTCCGGAGGTCAAAAACGTGCGGAGGGGAGGGTGTGTGTACGCGTCGAAGTCTTCAGCAGAGACCGGCGATGCGACGCTCCTCATCGGCAAAAGTGTCCCCCTTTCCTCTTCCTCCTCCTCCTCCGCCTCATCCTGCTGCTCCGCCTCCTCCTCCTCCTCCTTCTCCTCCTCCTCCACCTCCTCCTCCTCATCCTCCTCCCTCCTCCTCCCTCCTCCCTCCTCCCCATGTTCGTGTCCACACTGCCCCCTCCTCCCGCCCTCGTCCTCCCTTCCTTCCTTCACTCCTTGTCTCTTCCAGCCTCCTCCTCGTATTCTTTCGTCTCTTCCTTCTCTTCTTTCTCGTCTGCTCGATCCGCCCGCGCCACGCCAAAGGACAGTAGGCACCAAGGACGGCTGGGAGTTCCAGCTCGACGAGGCGAACGGCTTGTGCGCCGATTGCTGGTGCCACCTCGAGGGGGTCGCCCCCTCCAGAGATGTTGGTTCCGACAGGGAAGGAGGAGGAAGAGGAGGCAGGGCGAGGAGCAGGGGGCGGAGGAGGAGGCAGGGGGAGGCAGGGCGTGGAGGAGGGAGGTGGGATGGGTGGAGGAGGTGGAGGAGGAGGAGGAGGACAGACGAAGAAGGAGGGTGGAAAGGAGGAGTCGGGAGAGCCGCAAGAGGAGGAGAGCGAGGAGGGGAATGCGGATGGGAATCAGTACGAGATGAAGAGGCGAAGGATGAGGGAGGTGCGGGAGAATGAGCAAGGCAAGCAAGGAGGACGAGGAGGTGTGGTTGCCTCTCTCCTGCGTCTCTTATTCCTGCTGGTCGTCTTCCTTTCTTCTTATCCCTTCACCTCTTCTCCTCCTGCAGCCTCCCATCACGGAAGACACGCATACACATCGGATGATATGATGTGCACCACCTCATCCGTCTGATCGTCTATTTGTTCTGCAGCTCCCCCCTCCCCCCTCCCGCCTCCTTCTTCCTGCTTCATCCTCCCTCCTGCCTCCTTTCGCTCGTCTCGTTCCCTCCTCGTCCTCCCCCCCTTGCCTCCCTCCTGCCTCCTCCTGCCTCCTGTCTCTTCTCCTCGTCCATGCCTCCTCCTCCACCCTTTCCTCCCTCTCCTCCTGTCTGCCCCTCCTCCCCCCTCCTCCTGTTCCTTTCCGCCCCCGTTTTGCAGGAGGTGCCGCCCACTATCCCCCCCACCCCCCCACCCCCTCCGCCCTCGGCCACCCGCGCGGGGGCCCCCCCTGGGCGGCGTTGGGAAGGTGCTGCAAGCGGCCCGCGGGCGGCTTCGTGCTGGAGGCGGGGGGCACCGCGCCCCAGGAGCGACCAGAGCCCACAGGGGGGATGGAGGATGGAGGAGGGGCCGGGGCTCGATGCGGGGCAAGGAGGAGAAGGAGAAGGACGATCTGGACGCCCGAAATGGGTACGGAAAGAATGGGTACGATGCCCAACAGCAGCTCCTGTTCATTTTGAACAAGACTCGCTGTCCGCGCCGCCGCGGCCTGTGCCCATTCGAGACAGAAGGCCGCCCGCCCAACAGCGGCCGCTGTTGGTTTGGGACAACATTTGTTGTTGGGCATTGTGCCCATTTTGTTCAGTACCCATTTCAGCGTCCAAAGAGGAGGGGTCAAACCCTATGAATATGATAAGCTTCTGGGTCTTATTGTTTTCCGGAGGCCTTGCCTCCTCCTGGCCTTGCCGTGAGGCCGCCCTCCTTCTGTCCCCCCCTCTTTGTCAATTCAAGCTTCGCGCGGCCCGCTTAGCTTCGACCGGAAGAGGTGCGCTCTCGACCCGCGAATCAACAATTGTTTTCCTGAGGCAAGTGCGGCAAGCCTGGCGTCGCTGGAGGGCGGTTGCTGCCTCACTCGAGGCGGGGGTCCCCACGAGCATGACCCAAGATGTTGCCCCAAAGTGTATTGACTGTTCTGTGATTTTATATTGTTTTTGACAGGGGTGGTTGCGGGGGGGGGGTGGCATTGTTCCTGGTTGGCCGCTGCCGCCGCAGCTTCCAACGCCGCCACCGTCGCTCTGGTACTTATTTTATCATACACATATGTATATATGACGATGTCGTTTCCTTCCTGGCGCTGTCCATATGTATGTTTGTGAGCATGTGCATATCTATATGACGATGTCGTTTCCTTCCCTGCGCATTCCTCGATCTCGGCCTCTGTGGCCAGCAATCGGGTCCACAGGGCCATCGAACCTGGATCCTGGAATGCAGGATCGCCCTCGGGGAAGGGGCTGGGTTTTCTGGGGCCGTGCGCTACCAACCCAATGTCGGATCCAGATATCCGATATGTTTTTTTTCACGACGTGGACCCCACAGGTCCAGAGCCTTTCCCTCGAGCTGGCTTCTCATTCCCAGCCGCTCTTTGACGGTCCCGTGGGTCGACGAGTGAACCTCGAGGCCGAGATCGGTCAACAACAACTTCACGCCGCGAGTTGAGGGGGCACGAGCCCATGTTTGGGCACTCGTCTCCTGTCTGGGGTCTCCGATGCTTGTTTTTCTAGTTTAAAAAAGGATATATATATATATATACATATATATATATAGAGAGAGAGAGATATAACTCCCGAGGGCCGCGATGTCTGCATGCCCGCTGCCGTCGGAGGACCCCGCCCGGCAGGCAATAGACGGTGGCGGCGTGGCGGCGGCCGAGGGGGACCCGGCGCAGGAGCCCACCGCGGGGGTCACCGAGCGCGCTCCCCGGCTTGCAGCGCACCTGCTCGCAGGCGTTCGACAAGCACCTGGTCGCCTCCACGTAGAAGGTCGTATAGGGGGCCACATGCGAGCCCTACCCCTACCCCCCACGATTTCTGAGGGGGAGGGTGGGGTTCACTTCGCTCGAGAGCTCCCGAGCGAAGTGAACCCCACCCTCCCCCTCAGAAATCGTGGGGGGTAGGGGTAGGGCTCGCATGTGGCCCCCTATCGCAGATCCCCCGTGGAGGATCTCCGGGCTGTTTGCGAGCAGTAGCTCTGCGAGTCGTGGACCGCGCTCGTCCAGGGGGGGGAGGAGAGCACGGGGGCGGCCGATGCGGGGGGTGATGGCTGGGGCCGAGGCGTCGGCGGCAGGGGCCGCTTCCGCGCCAGGGGCAGGACCCCAAGTTGTGGAGCCCGGCCTGCCGCATTCCGGTCGCCGGTGCACCGCCGGTGAGTCGGCGGTGCGGCGGCATTCTCCGGGCCGGCCACGAGGAGTCGGGGGTGGACAGAACCCCCAACAGTGACACGTCGATTAGTGAATTGTCCGTTTTCGGTTCTCGAGAGGGCGCCGCGGCCGTTACTTTCCAGGCTTGCGCCCGCCAGGTTTGGGCCTCAGGTCGTTTTCACTAAACCACGTTTTACTAAAGGGGGGTCTGTCCATCCCCGAAGGAGGGTGATGCTCAGGTGGGGGTAGATATCGTGGCGGGGGCCATGATGAATTCCCAGATTTTATGGGGCCTCTCCTTAGCGAGTCTGGGGGCCAGGAAGCGCGCAGTCGGGCGGCGCGCTGCCGACGATGCCCCCGGCGGGCGCCGGCAAACAACGAGGAGCAGGAGGAGGAGGACGATGAGGAGGAGGAGGACGAGGACGACGACCACGACTAGGTGGAGGACGACGTGCCCCGCCCGACATCCCACGACGACATGTCCTGCGCCCGCCCGACTCACTGGCAGAGGTCGCCGACGACGACCACCGACGACCACCGACTACGACGAAGACGACAACCACGACGTGCTTCGCCCGCCCGACCAACTCGCCCACGACGGCGACGACGTGTCTGGCCAGACCGAACGGACTCGCGGGCAAACGACGACGACCACGACGACGACGACGACGACGATTACGACGACGACGACGACGTCGACGTCGTCGACGACGACGACGCGGCGTGGAGTCGGGGTGCGTCGAACCCGGCCCTCCGGCTTTCGGAATGGGGGAGGCGTGGTGACATGGGCTGGGGGGGGGGTTCTCGCGAGGCGGAGGGGGTGGGCGGTTTCAGAGAGGCGAGGGGGGAGTTTTTGAGGCGGAGGGGCGTTTGGCTGATTCCAGAGTGGGGCAGGCTGGGATCTTGCACCTGTACTCAGCGTGCACCGACGACGCTCTTCGGGCGGGGCCAGGACGATCAATTATCCTGGCGAAGGTCCCAACCATATGCAGTTGTGGGTACCGTGATTGTGAATATCTACTTCGGTGAAGCTCCCTATGGGGCCACGAAGCGCTGCACTGGGCGGGGGGGAACGCTGTACTGTGTGGGTGGTGTGCCGGATTGGGTTTCCGGGACGCATGCGGACAGTCCCACTGAGGGCTTCGGTGGAGCTCCCTATGGGGCCACGAAGCGCCCTACTGAGCGAGTGAAAATGCCAAATTGGGTTTCCGGTGCACCTGCGGACGGTCCCACTGGGGGCTTCGGTGGAGCCCCCAATGGGGCCACGAAACGCTGCACTGCGCGGGTGAAAATGCCAAATTACATTTCCCGGACGCATACGGACGGTGGCACTGGGGCCTTGGGTGGAGCCCCCTTATGGGGCCACGAAACGCTGCACTGGGTGGGTGAAAATGCCAAATTGGGCTTGTGGGACGCATGCGGACGGGGGCACTGGGGCCTTTGGTGGAGCTCCCTATGGGGCCACGAAGCGCTGTACTGGGTGTGCGGGACGCATGCGGACTGCAGCGCTTGGACCTTCGGTGGGGCTCCCTATGGGGCCACGAAACGCTGTACTTGGCGTGCGGGGCGCATGCGGACGGTAGCACTGGGACCTTCGGTGGGGCTCCCTATGGTGCCCGAAACTTTGTATTGGGTGGGTGAAACGCAGGGAGGAGGGGGAGGAGGGCCACGAAACGCTGTACTGGGTGTGCGGGACGCATGCGGACGGTAGCACTGGGACCTTCGGTGAAGTTCCCTTTGGGGCCACGAAGCGTTGTACTGGGTGTGCGGGACGCATGCGGACGGTAGCACTGGGACCTTCGGTGGGGCTCCCTAATATGGGGCCACGAAACGTTGTACTGGGGGGACGAAGCGCAGGGAGAAAGGGGAGGAGGGAGGAGGAGAGAGGAGTGGGAGGAGGAGAAGGAGGAGGAGGAGAGGAGAGGAGAACTGGAAGAGGGAGGAGGGAGGAGGAGGGGGAAGAGGAGGAGAGGAACGCGGGGACCGTCTCTTCAAAACGAGAACCAAACACAACGGGATGGTTGGGAAGTATTGTTTCAGAGTCTTCCGCGGCGTCCGAGACATCCTTCAGCGCCGCCAGATCTCAGAGATAAATTATTCTTACCTTACCCAATCTTATCATCGTCCTGGCTTCGCCTTACCTCTCTCTCTCTCTGCTCTGCACGGGAAGGCCCAGCGGGCATGTCCGTCTACAGGATGACGATTCAAACATAATGAAAACAATTCGGCAGGGGAACACTTGTCTGCTGTTTTGATAGTTTCTCATTGCTGGGGGGCTAATCTTAATCTGTCTTCAAAAATCCGCTTGTAGGAGGACGTGCCCAACCTAAGTCTCGACCTGACGATGTTTTTGCGACTTCGTGGACCGTTGTCGTGATGCCGTTGTGCAGCAGAGGCAGAGGGAAGACAGAACGAAGGAGAGCTGAAACAAAACGGAAGCGGATAACACTGTTTGGGTCGAGCGTTATTCTCGCGCCCAGCTTCGGGTTGAGCGAAACGGGGGAATGCGAGCCCGTTTTTGCTTCCCCTGGCGATAACGGGCGTGACCAGGGGGGCGGGGGGCGGGGAGGGGGGAGGGGCCAGTCATGTTGCGATTCTCGCCGTCGCCGTCTGAAAGTGCCTGAGAATGGTCCATTTTCCAGACGGCGCCGGCGCGAATCGTGAAGTGAGCAGGGGGGGATAGCGGACGTGATCGCGAATGATGAGAAATGGGTTCCAGAGAAGAGGGGGGGGTTGCGGTAGGTTCGCGCGGCATTGGCGCGCCGGCGACGCCTGCGGATGCGTTCGAGGTGGACTTCTGCGGCGTGGAAGCACCGATGGACGCAGGAACGCCGCTGGACCCGATTGAATTCAGGCTTGAACGATCGGAGCCGCGATCGACGCGGTGTCCAGAAATTCTGCGCGCGCCGCCGCCGCACGAAGCCGCCGTACGGAACTTGCTGCATGCAGCTGACCTCGGTTCCGCCGCTGGGCGCTCTCCTCGATGCAGGCGGGGGAGGCGCCGGAGAAGTCAGCTCCGCGAGCTGATTCGGTACCCCCCCTGCGCGATTCCTCTGCGTCGTCCGTCCCGACAATCGCCGAGCTCCCATCCAGGAAATCGGGCCGCTCAGAAGAGAGGGGTCGGGGATCTACGCCCCCTGTGGGCTATGTGGACACATCCCTGTCGAGGATGGGAGCCCCCCATCACACATCCCCGAGGTGGGCCCAGCTTGTTTGGCGGATCCAGTCGAAGACCCTACACAAAGTCAGGGACTGGGATCGCAGTACAGTCGAACCGATTCATAGGATCGAGGTCGGTCCCGGGAGGGAACCCTGATGTTCTTTGGGGTTGTTGGATGTTCTTGGGCATCCTGAGGAGGATACCCTTGGATGTCCTCTCTCTCTCTATATGTGTGCTTTGGGTGGCGGAGGGTCTTATGTTCTTGAACGATGTTCTTCTGTCCAAGGTCTGGCCGTACCCTCCGTCGCAGATGTGGCCAGTCCAGGGACGACGAAGGCCTCGCCTCCAACTGGGACGTCAAGTTGCTGGCGCCCGCCTCTGCGGTGCAGACTCTTCTCGGCCTCTCGTCGCCGCCTTTGGCGCCCATGCAGACGATGGGGTGCCGGCCGCGCATTGCACGGCAGCCCTTTCCAAGGGAGAGAGGACAAAACAGGGCTAGGATCGGGATAAATCGCTCCAGAGCGTTCTGGAGCGCTCTCAGAGCGTTCCGGAACGCTCTGGAGCGGCCGCGGCGCCCAATACATCCTCCAAACCCGCCGATTCTCAGAGATTTCGAGTTATCCCGATCCGATGTTGTCCCGATCTTCGCGTCGTCTTAGAGGAGTTGGTGGAGTTCTGTCGGTGATATTCCAACAGTTCAGTACTGTGTGTGCGTCGCCCCCCCCAAGGGGCGACGCGCGCACAGAGAAATATTGTAGTTTTTGCTCCTTGGCGGGCGCTCTCTTGTCATACCGCTCGGGAAACGATATACTACAATATGCTTATACTAGATGTTCGGGTCGGACGCACGCCTTCAAGGAGGACATATAGTCGAAGGTTGGGGGGTGAGATCGCAGTGGAACGGAGAGCCCCCCACCGGGAAATCGGGTTCGGTTTCGTGTTCGTGTCGCGCGTGCGGGCGAGGCGAAGTTGCTTTGGCGCGCGAGAGGAATGACCCCGCCGTTGCTAGGGGGAGTCGTATGCAGTGGACCGTCCCTCCGCCCCCAGTGGGCGCGCGGTGGTCCGGGGTGTCCCGCCGTGGTGTCCTGTGGTATTCCGTTGGTGTCCCATTAGTATCCCGGCGGTGTTCCGTCGGCGGTGGGCGGGCGGTGACGGGGGTGTCCCGCCTTGGCATCGAGAGTAAAGTCGATAGTGTGATCGATAATGAGATCACTAGAGTGGGATGGATAGGGAGATCGAGAGTGACATCGACTCGACAGTGAGGTTGATTGTGACTTTGGTTGTAAGATTGATAGTGAGATCGACAGAGGCATCGATATTGAGATCGACAGTGAGATCTATATAGTGAGAACTATACTGTAGTCAGATCGATAGTGAGATCTATAGTCAGACCGATAGTGAGATCGATTGTGAGATCGATCGAATGTGATCGATCCTGTGAGTTCGATAGTGGGATCGATCGAGTGAGATCGACATCGGGGACGCTAGTGACGTTAAATCGCAGCGCCACATCGTCATCACGCGTCGTCGCCAACTCGAGGGCGCGCCACCAGCATCGTCGTTACCGCACCTGTCGCATCTGCCAGCAGTTGGCTTTTGCCCCCCACTTCCCAACCCCCCTAACACCCGAAGGGTGGTCGTATAGGTACTACCATGCCCTTGAAGCGTCCTGTCCTGGGGCAGCGGCCGAGGCGAGATGGTTGCTGTTATTTCCTCGGGCGCGTGACGGCCGTTGCCGGGGCCAGCCCCGCCCCCCCCTGGCAACAGCAACGCCTGTCCGTGACCCCACCCCACCGGCAGGTGCTCGCGCACGGACTGCGGCAATCGCAGCGCGCCCCCGGCCCGACGTGCCCCACCCCAGGGCTCGTCTCGATTCTTCCGATTCGATGCGATTCGACTTCGATGGTGTCCGATTCCGATCCGATTCGACCCGTGAATCTCGATTCGGGCTGCGACTTCTCATTGGAGGCGCACGAGCCCGCCGAGATCCGCCGATTCAACTTTTCCCGACTCGGCTGCCGAGTTCCGCCAATCCGATTCATTTCGACCGCCGATCCGACTTATCGGTTCGATTCTGGGCTTTTCTGCCACCCCGCCCAAGCGTTACCGTTGCCTGGGGATTCAACCCGCCCTTCCACCCGGTAACGACCGTCACCAGAAATAAGAACAGCAGTCTCGGCATGATTCTGGCCATCGTTGACGCTGGTTGCGACTTCTTTTTTTGTGTGCTGGCACATCTCACAGTGCAGCTTCCTAGAATCTCCAGGCAAGCTTCTAACCACACCTCGCAGACCCAGAAGCGCCCTGTAGACCCCTTTTCTTTCGAGCAGTTCTCCAACGTCGGCGACGAAGATGGACCCGACGACAGCGGCGGTGAATACAAAGACGGGGACTGACGGCGGCGACGATGGAGACGACAACGAAGAAGACGAGTACGACGGCACCTACGATGAAAACCACGACGCAGCTGGCAGCGGCGACGACAACGACTGAGACGATGATGACGATTTGTGAGACGAGGAGGACAGACTTCACCACCCACCAAACCGTCTCAACCTGACCCGAAGGCCCAAATATACCTGGTACTTCCAGTGGGCGGGGGGTCGGGGAACATTGACGAAACACATGTTGAACCCGTAGCCCCCCCCCCACCCGAAACTTAGGTCTTCGGGTTAGGTCGGGGTGGTCTGGTAGGTAGCCAAGACTGCGACGACTCAGACGACGACGGCGGCGGCGGCGGCGGCTGTGCGACGGCGTTGTTTCCGAGGAGAGCGCCGGCGACGGCGACGGCGTGCAGCCGCCGGACGGCGTGGGCGTCGCGCTGTCGGATCACCCCGTGTCGCTCGAGGACCTGGGCGGGAGGGGGCGAGGAGCGCGGAGAGGGAAAGAGACGAGGACCCAGGACCCCTTCGGGTCATGAAAACAAGATGAAGGGAGGTTTCTCCCTGTTTTCGGCCTCTGGGGGCCCTTACTCGGTCCCGGGACCGTCAAATGACGATTCAGCATGACAATTGGTCCCAGGCAATGGGTCGAGACCTCTGAGGGTCGACGTTATTATGAAAATATCATTGCGTCGGGGCCTGGGGAGGGAGGAGGGGGAGGGAGAGGGGGAGAGAGGGGGGAGGGAGGAGGAGAGAAGGGTGGCGTCCTGGATTGCCTCGATGCCCGCAGTCAGGAGGAGGAGGAGGGGCGAGGCGAGGGAGGGAAAGAGGAAAAGCGGGCTGGAAGAGGGAGGGGAGGAGTGGGTGGGGTAGGGAAAGGGGGTAGGGGGAGGATGAGGTTTTCTAGGTGGTTCTTCGGAGGGGGCGCCGGCAAAGAGCGGGGAGGATGAGAAGCAAGTGGAGCGGGAGGGAAGGAGGAAACGAAGGGGGTGGGGAGAACGATGATGTGGCTGCGAGGGAGGAGGAGGAGGAGGAGAAGGAGGAGGAGGAGGAGGAGGAGGAGGAGGAGGAGGAGCCTCATGCAGCATATGTTGCATTCCCCACGCGACCAATTGAGGACGCTGCTGTGCCACAACAGTTTCGGCATGCCCCCCTTCTGCCAGCCTTCCTTTTGAATTCAACTTCCTCCTCCTCACTGCTACTTTCTTCCTCCTCCTTGCCTCTCCATCCTTTCGTCATCCTTTCCTTGCCTCTCTTTCCGTGCTCCTTCCAGTGTTCACCTTCTTTTACTCACAGCTCATCAATCTGATTTGTCCTTCTCGTCTCGTTATTATCTCCGTTATGTGTTGTTTCTCTCTCTCTCTCTCTCTATATATATCTCTATATTTCCTCTTCCTCCTCTCCTCTCTTATTCCTCCGCCTCCTCCCTCTGCCCTCTGCTTCGACACCTCATCCTCCTCTCCGTCCCCCCTCCTCTCCTCCGCCTCCTCCCTCGGCCCTCTGCTTCGACACCTAATCCTCCTCCCCGTCCCCCCTTCTCTCTCATCTTCCTCCCCTCCTCCGTCCCTCCCTCGTCTTCCCATCCTCTCCTCCTCCGCCCCCTTCCCTCCGCCCCCTTCCCCTCTTCGTCGTCCTCCTCCTCCTCCACCTCCTCCTCCTCCTCCTCCTCTTCCTCCTCCTCCTCCTCCTCCTCCTCCTCTCACTGGTCTCCCCCGCTCTCCTCTTCTCCCCACCCTCCCTCCCTCAATCCCTGCCTCCTGCCCCCCCGCCCACTCCGCGCCAGGAGTTTGCCAGGGACGCGTTCCTCCCGGGGGGGACCGGCCTGGAAAGCGGGCGGGGCCGCGGCACCAGCTGCCTCGCGGCCGCGGGCGGGGTTTCCAGCAGCTCCTTCCGCGGCCCGCTGAGCTGGTGGGGGAAACCGGTAGGAGGAGAGGAGGGGAGGGCGAGAGGCATGGGAGGAGGAGAGGGAGGGGGGAGAGGGAGGGAGGGCGGAGGTGGGGGAGGAGAGGGAGGGAGGGAGGGAGGAGGGGAGGGAGCTCGGGCAGCAGGAGGAGGAGGGAGGAGAAGGAGGAGGAGGAGGAGGAGGAGGAGGAAGAGGAGGAGGAGGAGGAGTTGGAGGATCAGAAGGAGGAGGAGCAAGTCGAGGAGGAGGAGGAGGAGGAGGAGGAGGAGGAGGCGGAGCAGAAAGAGGACACGGAGGACGGATGGCCACGTCTGGACACATCGCTGCCATCGGCCGCACAGTCGCACGGACGGAGGACCGGCAGGGCAACGCGGAGAGATGAGGAGGAGAAGGAGGAGGAGGATGAGGGATGATGGGGAAGGAGGAGGATAGGGGGCGGAAAAGAGGGGGGTGATGACTAGGGGGGGTGGATATCATGGCGGGGGCCATGATATTTCTCCAGATTTTATGGAGCCTCTTCTTGTTTCATTACGTCCCTGGCCCCCCCGCTTGGCCGCGCACATGCCGCCGGTCATGATTTGCACCCCCCCCTCTTGGACACCCCCCTCTTGGCCGCTCCCGAGAGGAGGAGGGGGAAGAGGAGGTGGAGGAAGAGCTGGAGGGGGAGGTGGGTAATGAGGAGGAGAAGAAGGAGGAGGAGGAGGACGAGGGCGTGGGAGTGGGAGTGTGGGGTGGAGAAGAGGAGGATCATCATCACGGGCCAGCTGCGGATTGTCCACGCTGCCGCCTCGTGGGCGCTCGCAAGCGCCCCGTGCGCTGGGTGGTGTCGCCGATGTTGCGCCGCGTTGCCGCCTGTGCCGCCTCGTCGACGCTCACGGGCGCCCCTTGCGTTGGGTGGTTTCGCCGAGGTCGCGCCATGTTGCTGCCCGTGCCGCCTCGTGGGCGCTCGTGGTCGCCCCATGCGCCGGGTGCCCTTGCCGCCGTGTGGTCGGTCGTAGCCGCCCTGTGCGCTCAGCTTGCATAGCTTGCACACTGCAGCTTGCACCACATGGCCTGCACCATGCAGCTTACGCCAAGTATGCTACACGACTTGAATTGCAGAGCTCGCGCAGCAGATACTTCACCTCCAGCTCACAATACATCTATCATACGACACACCTTGAACCACATGGCTTACGCCGCATAGCCCTGACCTCCACAGTGCAACGTCCTAGTTTGGTGTCCACTCTGCCTAACATCATTCTGTGTAGGAAGGCAAGAGGATAGAGAGGGTCAGGGGGGGAAGGAAGGAGGGAGGCAGGCACGGGAGGATGAGACGGACGGAGAGGTGAGAGAGGAGGCTGGAGGACGACGGCCTTGCATGCCGTGCTCTGCCCAGGTTTCCTGACGAGGTCTACGAGTGGTACAAGCGCGACAATCCCCTCTTCGATGGCACTGATTTCTCAGAGGCTCTGCAGCAGTGCGGAGAGAAGCGGATGGGGGAGTGGCGGAGGCGGAGGAAGGAGGATCAGAAGGAGGAGGAGGAGGAGGAGGAGGAGGAAAAGGAGGAGCATGAGTTGGAGGAGCAGGAGGAGGAGGATGAGGAGCAAGAGGAGGAGTAAGGAACAGGAGGAGGAGGAGAGGAGGAGGAGGAGGAGGAGGAGGAGGAGGAGAGGAGGAGGAGAGGAGGAAGAGGAGGATGAGGATGAGGATGAGGATGATGATGGTGATGATGATGATGAGGAGGAGGAGGAGGAAGAGGAGGAAGAGGAGAAGGGAGGGAGGGAGGGAGGGAGGGAGGGAGGGAGGAGGAGGAGGAGGAGGAGGAGGAGGAGGAGGAGGAGGAGGAGGAGGAGGAGAGGAGGAGGAGGAGGAGGTACAGGAGGAGAATGAGGGAGGGAGGGAGGAGGGGGGGGGAGGAGGGAAGAGCAACAGGAGGAGGAATGGTGAGGAGCTGGAGCCACATGAGTAGCAGGAGTCGGATGCGGGAGCGCCGGACGAAAGGCTCGCTGGGTGGGTCACACCCCTCGGCCGTGCACCCGCCTCTGGCGCCTTCCGGTTCTCCTCCTGGCCCTTGGGGCTTCGGGTAACATTCGCATGCGGCACGTTCGGTTTTGCTCTCAGGTCAAGGTTCACTGCAGGAGTTTGCCTATCGCAGGTCGGCTCGCGCGAGATTCCTGGTCTGCCTGGCGACGTGTCGATTCGCGCAACGGGAGGCGGGGTCAACCTACCCGTCGCCAATCTATGAGGAATGCATCGTTGCTTTCTCAAGCATCCGCGTCCTGCGCCACCCGATGCCGTCGGAGCAAGGCCTGTCGCTGGCATCTATCTCAAGCTCTTTTCAGCACGGCCGACATATGCAACATTCCTGTCCAACGTTGGCTCGCTACTCAGCGCCTTCCGCGCGGTCGGTGGCCTGGCGAGCGCGGTGGGCGGCCTGGCTCAGCAGGCGACCGACTGCGCGTTGCTGGGGTTCGTCTCGCGGTGGGCCCCGACCTTGGTGTTGCTCATCTGGCTGTTCGGCGCCCTCCGCGGCGCCATCGCGGCTTGCGGCTGCGTCAGTTGTTGGCATGCGATTCGGGCGCCGCTTCGACGTGCACTGGGGGCCCCGCGAGGATTGGCAGAGCCGCATCGGGAACCGTTGCTCGTCAGGGGCTGTCAGAGGTCATGGAGATCGACGCCATCGCGGAGCAAGAGAAAGCAGGGAATTAGTTGGTTGTGTGGCGCACCCGACCTAGACGTGTATCCGATGCTGGTGGGCCACCCCGCACTCCGCGGCGCGGAGCTCTGTGGAGGGCCAGGCGCCGCCGCAACGGGAGGCAGGCGAGCGTCTCCGACTGGGGGGGCGAGCTTGCTCGAGTGGTTTGACGCGGCGGAGGTCGTAGCTCCGAGCGGCGCCAGTCCAGCAAAGGCCCATTGAAATCATCGGGTCAGCCAGTGAGTGGAGCGACGGTCCTGGCGAATATCCCAGCGGGGAGTAGAGGCTGCCCGGCATGAAGCCCTTCGGGTGGCACGTGGCATACGGGCCAAACAAGCAGGGTCAGGACAGGGAGTTCCCCCGCAGCACGGTCGACCAGCGTGCTTGATCAGAAAAGGCGGCCAGCCTGTCGTGGGGACCAAGTCGAAGTGCTCACGGCGCTGGGCCCGCAGGATGGCCTGGTCCAGGTGGTGCGCGGCGACGAGTCTAATTAGCGGCGGGGTGCGGAAGAAATTGTGCCGCGACGCGGTCCTGGAGGTGACTCTGCACGAACGAGATGGGCACGGAAAGAATGGGTACAATGCCCAACAGCAATTCCTGTTCATTTTGAACAGGACTCGCTGTCCGCGCCGCCGCGGCCTGTGTCCATTTGAGTCAGAAGGCCGCCTGCCCAACAGCGGCCGCTGTTGGTTCGGGACCACATTTGTTGTTGGGCATTGTGCCCATTCTTTCCGTGCCCATTTCGGGCGTCCAAAGTGACCGAAAGCGCGTGGCCAGGCTGGTCCTTGCTGGGTCCCTGCACGACTGGTCGGTGCATTCGTTTTACCTCAGAGTAGGATCGCCACCCCCAGGCCCGGCACGCCAAATCGCTCCTCGAAGCGGGGGTTGCCGCTGCGGGCCCAGAGGTGGCCGTCCATGAGCCGGGCGATGGGGCTATTCGAGGTTTGCGTTGGTATGCGACCAAATCAGCGTGGGAGAGCTCACCAACTTGGAAGTGATGGCGAGGCGAACCCGGATGGCCGAGCGAAGGCATCGTGATCGATCGGCACCCAAGCGCTCTGACGACGCGATCGAGTTCGATTATCTGCAAGCGGGGACAGGCGAGACGTGGGGGCTCATCGTGTTGGCCCCAGCCCTTGTTGAGCACATCCTATCGGAAGTGCATCGAGTGCACCCAGGGACGACAGAGAAGCGAAAGTTGAGAGAGGACCAGCAGTTTGTAAGGAACCCTGGTGTCGACGGCGAGACGGAGGAGGCCTTGCGCAAGCAGGTGGACAGTCAGGTTGCGGAGCTTCGCCGGCCCCAGCAGGCTGCGCCCAGGAAGGAAATCCCAGATGGCAAACCCAGATGGCGGCCGCGGCGGCAAGTGGTCACGGTCACGCCTGCACTCCGGGAGTTGCTGCCCACGACGGCCCCAGTGGCGCCCTGCAGCGGCGCGGAGTCCATCCGCCGCCGGCGCGGTCTCGGGCCCGCCGCCATCGGCGCGTCGAAGAGCGGAGCAGAGAGGTGCATCGCGCGTTGAATTGGCTCCATGGCCGATGAGACCCAGGTGTCCACCGGCCTCCCACGTCGTCGAGGACAAGCGGGTGGCACCGTCGCTGGCGGGTCAGACGGCCGCGGCTGTCCGCGTCGACGGAGTCGCGGCGGTTGGCGCGAACTGCCAGCAGGTATAGGAGGTCTGCCATACCGCGGGCGCTGCCCATCGCGCGTGGGCTTGGTGACGTATGATATGGAGCGTCCGCAGGACGAGCAGCTTTTCGCGAGCTGACCAGGGCACAGGTGCGCATGCTGCTCGGCCAACACGCGGGGCGGCCATGCTCCGCCGACCGCGGCTCGCGATGCGCTTTCACCGAAAAGGCTGAGGGGCGGGCGCGGCGGCCGCGGGCTACCGCGCGTCGCGAGCTCAGGCTGGGGGCCCCGTTTGCAGCGATGGCTCTCGTTGGCCCGCGCCGTCCCGCAGCCTCGACCGCAATGGCCGCCGACGCGTCGGGCGGCGAGTCCGCGACGAGACGACTTCGGCGTCTTCGGCGTCGTGGGCCGAGAGGTTAGCGCCGCGCCCGTAGTCCGCGCTCTGCAGGTGGGCTAGAAGTGGCGGCTCGAGACTCTCGGTCGTTTGGGGCTTGGGCGTCAGCTCTCCGGATTTGTCTTTCATGGTGGCTTGGCATTTCGATCGCAACGCTGCTCGCCGCAGTCGTTGCTTTCTGCTGTTCCCGGACAACGCGGGTCTGGTTCTGGCTGCGCGGGGCGGGCGATCTTCGACGCCATTATTCAACTTGCTCTTGCGGCGCCTCGCTGCCATCGCTATCATGGCCAACGTTGGCCTCGTCGTGAGATGCGCCCCCTCGGAGTCGGACCCTCCCGACGCCCATCCGAGATCCCCGTCAGTTCGGTCGAGGCGCTCGAAAGGATGCAGGGTCTTTCGCAGGGCGCTCCCAGCCGGAGGGCGGGGGCGAAGCGGCGCGGCGAGCCGCCGCGGAGGCCCGCGCCTCGGAAAGCGGGCCACTGCCGCGCGGGCCTGGCGCCGCTGGCCTCGGCGACGCCCTCGGCGACGCCCGCGCGCCAGCCCCGGGCGCGGGCGGTTTTCGGGCACAAGGGCGAGTGCTTCCGCCAGCGAGCAGAGTCGGACAGCAGTTCGGGCCTCTCCAGTGAAGGAGGCGGCAGCGGAGAGGAGATCTAGACTAGCTGCGGGACGAACCAAGACAGCCCAGCGGAGCCCCCCGGCGCAGCCCGAGGCGACTTCGCTGACCTACCTCCAGGCCCGGAAGAGTCGCCGCTCCTCCGGCTTCAACTTCGCTATCTCGCATCAGAATTTCGACGACTGGCACCTGGCCCGCGGGGCGCTGGTGGACGCGGCGGAGGAAGTCGATCGCGCGTTGAACGAGGTCTTGGACGAGGCGCGCTTCGACGGGCCCCCTGTCGAGACCGACTCGAAGGCGATCGCCGCCGTCCGCCATTTCCGCTCGTCGGTGGCTGGGGGCCGATTTGGCGGGCGTTCGGGCCGATCTGAAGGGGTTTCGTGCTTGGTTCTGGTTCGGGCCCAGATGCCGCTGGGCCACGGGCCGGAGGCGGGATGGCGGCGCTGGGCCACAGGCCAGAGTCCGCCGAGGCGCTGAGCCAGCCGGCGGACGCCGCGCTTCGCTTGCCGAGCGACCTCCTGCAGCAGCAAAGCCCATCGCGTTTGCCGCCGCAGCCCGGGCAGCGGGTGCTCGCGCGGAGCCTCTTGATATGCCCGGAGGAGCCTGGCCTGCGGAGCCGGGCGAAGCAGTTCGACGAGAGGTCCCAGCTCACCGCGGCGGGCCAGGCCCTGCCCCGCGGCAGCCGCGGGGGCGCCCGAGCGACGGTTCGCCGCGAGACCTCGACGCCCGCCGCCTCGGGCTGCTGTTCCGCAAGTGCTCGGACAGGGTCCACGTCAATGACCCGCGCCCGTACCTTGCGCGGCGCGTATCGGCCAGCTGGGACATCGCGAGCGGGGCCAGGACGATCGCGGCCGCGCGGGCCCAGCGGCGCGGCCGCGCGGCTCGCCGAGCTGCTGAGCTCGAGAAGGCGCCGACGACGGTGCCTTTCTTCGGCGCCGAAGTGCCGGCGCAATGGGCGCGCGTGCTGCAGGGGCGAGGCCAAATCCTGACTTGGTTACCACGGCCCCTGCTGGCGCGGCGAAGGTCGCGGGCGACGCGTTCGAACAGCCCCAGCGGGGCTCCCTTGCGCGTCTCTCCGCAAACGATCTCGTGCGCCAGTGCATCTTGGTCAGATTTCAGGCAGTCATTCAGTTGA